TTACAGTGGTGTAAGGTGCAGACATCCTGTGATAATGTGGCATGTCTCATTAAGGGCCACATCCACTGTTTTAATGTGGTGAGATGTATTCCACACTGGAGATGGATACTCAGCATAATAATACATTTTATTTCTTGCCTGCCCCTCCTCATGGCTCGAGTTACAACATTGTAAAACACACACTCAGCCAAATAAACAGATTGAAACTTATTTCCACAAAATACATATTAAAATACACATTGTGTGAGCATGGAAACTGAGCTGAGCAAGGCTCTTGCGTTTTTATAACTGAGGGTAGGAACTGAAGTGTGAAGCTCCCAGTTCAAGATGCGTCACAGAGGCAGCTTCTGTGCACATAATGCATATATCATGATTGCTCTGAACCTGACATAATATGAAAAAGTGTTATCTGTTGACTTTGCCTGTCTATCTCATGGAGAAGACCCTGTTGAGGCTGATTTGGGGTGTATCAATATGTGAGTGCATGCTCTGTAATTGTGCATGTGCTAGCTGTGGGTCTTTCAAGATTTTGAACTGAGTCTGTGCAATTTAGGAGTTCTTGGTGTTTTCTGTTTTGTTTTTTTACCCTGAAGATATTGTATTATCGTTTTATCCACTTTCCAGCCTGACTAATTAAAATAGTATAAATAAACCAAAAACTTGCAGAGCATTGTTATGAATTAAACAAGATTCTATTTGTGTTTTAAATTACTGTGTTTTTTTTAAAAAAACAAAAACAAAACAGTAATTGATCTGGGGTGTTGTATGATTTCCAGGCTGTATGGCCATGTACAGCCCAGAAATCGCACAAAACCAGTGATTCTGCTGGTGAAAGCCTCTGACAATACAGTAACCAATCTAAAGGAGCCCCCAGTGGTGCAATAGATTAAACCCTTCTGCTGGCAGGACTGCTGACCGAAAGGTTGGTGGCTCGAATCCGCAAGACAGGGTGAGCTCCTGTCTGTCAGCTCCAGCTTCTCATGTAGGGACATGAGAGAAACCTCCCACAGGATGGTAACACATCTGGGTGTCCCCTGGGCAACGTCCTTGCAAACAGCCAATTCTCTCATACCAGAGGCGACTTGCAGTTTCTCAAGTTGCTCCTGACATGAAAAAAGAAATCCAATCTAATGGGATTTCATTGATACATTTGCCACAGTCCAAGACGCAATAGCATAATTAAATGAAGAATGTCAGATTTTGTGAGGAAGTGTCTCTTCTGTCAGTAGCCAGCTAATTCATATCAGATGCATGAAGTATAATAGGGAAAGATTTAAATGCTTGAATAAGCATTTTGAAAGGAATTGGCAACAAGCAAATGCAGCTAATGGTTTTCAATATTTTTGTGGCCAGTCACATTGCACAAGAAATGTGCAGTGTAGGCCGAAACTAGCTTGCTTCCCTATAATGCCATATTTTGAATAATGCAGAACAAAACAGTTCTGAGGCTGCTAGATTAATGTAAATCAATCTGGTTTGATAAAGCAATATGTCAGATTTTTTAAGAAGGGAAATTCCCAGTGTCCTCAATAACCAGCCTTGCAACAAGTGCTTGCTTGAATATCTTTAAGCATATGAATAATGCAAAGCTTTCTTCCAAATGCTAATAATTTTAAATATGATTAGGACTTTCCAGTTCCACAAAGCATGGATTATTTATGTTGCCATTCTTCCACTGATATTGGAAAAGAAGCAATATAAGTATTTCCCTGGGGTATTTACTGTTTTCAAATGGTTTGTGGCCTATCATCAAAATAATAGGGTATTTTTTTAATTACAAGGAGCTGACTAGGGCAGTATTTAATTATCTGAGTATTGAAAATAATAATAATAATAATAATAATAATAATAAGAACAATAAAAACAACAACAACAACAATAATAATAATAAACTTTATTTATATACTGCTCTATCTCCCCAAGGGGACTCAGGGCAGTTTCCAAGTAACAACATTGGAACAGACAGAGTAAACAACGTAAGCATAAAATTAACAAAACAACATAAGCATGAAATATCATAACACACACACACATAAAAAATAATCCTGCCTGTTCTTCATGCCTGTTTGTTAGGGCGAGGAAAAAGGATCAAGGCAATTAAAAAGGCCAGGCTGAGGCTAGTGCAACATCAGAATATAGGGACCAGGGAATTGGGTAAAGTGCTATAACCAGCTAACAGCAATAGCAAGTATGGGTCTGTGGCTGCTCATTTCCAGGGCCTATTAGAGGAATGACCAGAGTAATAAGTAGGAAGCACAAGACCATATTCTAACAATGTCTAGGGCTGGGCTAGTACTGGTCATTCTCAAAGGCTTGTTGAAACCACCAGGTCTTCAAGCACTTACAAAAAGAGGGGAGGGATGGGGCCTGTCTTATTTCCTTTGGAAGGACATTTGAGGTGGGAGCCATCACTGAGAAGACCCTCTCTCTCATCCCCACCAACCGTACTTGTGACGGTGGTGGGAGCGAAAGGAGGGCCTCCCTGGAAGATCTTACGAGTTCACGATGGTTCATAGGAAGAGATGCGATCGCAAAGATAGGTGGGGCCTGAACAGTTTAGGGCTTTATAGGTCATGACCTGAACCTTGAATTTGGCTCGGCAACTTATTGGCAGCCAATGAAGTTGTTTTAATAGGGGCGATGTATATAGTTTGCTCCAGTAAGGAGCCTGGCTGCCACCCATTGTACCAATTGAAACTTCCGGGCTGTCTTCAAGGGCAGCCCCACATAGAGCACATTGCAATAGTCTAGTCTGGATGTAACCAAGGCAAGGACCACCCTGGCCAAGTCAGACTTCACGAGGTATGGTCGCAGCTGGCACACAAGTTTGAGTTGTGCAAAGGCTCTCCCGGCCACCACCGACACCTGAGCATCAAGCGACAGCGTTGAATCCAGGAGGACCTCCAAGCTACGGACCTGCGCCCTCAGAGGTAGTGTGAACCCACCGAGCACAGTGGTTCTGTGCTCGATGGGGTTCAATATGGTTCTGTAATGTATATCATTTTACTGTGGGATACACCCTACTGCTCTACCAGCTTTGCATTTGTTACTAGTTTGATAAAAACAGTACTAGAAAGCAAGTATGCTTCCAGCTGTTTCATTTGGATGCTTGAGAGAAACAGTGCAGACAATTCAACAGCAACAGCAGCATGTAATGACTGCAGAAAGAGCTAGTTGGGACATTTCTTTCTGAAGCATCCATCATGTTCCCCTTAGGGAATGCATGTAAATTTGTCATAACCATTGTGCTTCTTGTTGGCTTGTAAATAAAGCAGAAAGCAACAAATTACTCCTTCTGCAGTGGTGGTGCAACTAAAAAAAAGATTATCATTTTTTTCATTAGTATCATAATATTTCAGATGTTACTAACTGAAATTTTGGACCATCAGTGATTCAAATTTCACCTATTTGGATTACCTAAGAGAAGAATAGTCAGAAGTCTGTTTCACTCTCAGTTATTGCTTAGTGTTTTTAATGAGTTATGTGGCATGTTGAATAGAATTTTTATAATTACCACAATCAATAATAATCACTGCCATCTTCTGTAATTTTTTTCCTGTCCTGGGACTCAAAATAGCTTACAGAAGGTGAAACAAGTAGAAATAAAAGTTCACATTACTGAAACATACAAGAATTATAATTTAATGTGATTATGATTAAAAGCAACGTAAAAGTATACATAGGGTGGTGTGATTAAGATTTCTAGATTAAAATATAAATATTTTGAATAAGATGAAGGTATAATAAACATGGTAACAATTAAAATCACTTTAAATGCAACTGTTCCTGCCAAATCAGAACAATTCTACGGCCTGCCACTGCTGCCTTTCATTCTCTAATCAAATAGTGTTGGTAGTTCCTTTGGCACACCTATGAGTTCAGCTAATCTACATTTAGTGCATGGAAATGAATTGGAATAGAGAGAAACAAGAAGATTTCCCCTTCCCAGGCCTCTTCTCTCAGAACAAGCAACCACAAAACAAGCAAAGACAAGTTGCATTTCCAGATCATCTGCATCTTCAACAGAGCTTGCACGACATGAAGGGCACGTGCACCATATGGCTTTTGGCATACCTAAGGGCTAAATATCCTAAAGGCAAAAGCTCCAGTGTAATCTTGGAAGCTAAGAAGGGTCAGCCCTGGTTAATATTTGGGCAGGAGATCGCCAACAAATACTAGGTGCTGCAGACTATATTTCAGAGGAAGGAACAGGCAAAGCCACCTCTGAGTACTCCTTGCCTAAGAAAGTCTATGGAATTCATGGGGTCAATGAGTTGGTAGGTGGCTTAAAGGCAAACACCTACTCACATATTGTGTAGGAAACCAATTGCAGGCTTACATCATTTCCACTGGTGGCACTGCTCTGAAGCTAGATGGATAATGAACAGCACCACCTCATAATTTCTGTTTAGATCAAATCAATAGGAACATGTTAAGTCAGCATTTTGTAAGTCCCTTTTATTTATTTATTTATTTATTTATTTATTTATTTATTTATTTATTTATGCATTGGTTAATATGCATTCCCACAGACCTCTGAACAAACCTCTGAAGATGTTTGCCATAGAAGCAGGCGATATATCAGGAGAGAATGCTATGGAACATGACCGAAAAATGCAAAATGCAGAGCAACCCAATGATTCTGGCCATGAAAGACTTTGACAATGCATTGGTTTCCTTTGCTTTGGGACAGTTTAGAATGGTCCATTAATACTGCAAGATTATAATTTAAAAAGGGCAATGAAAGCTTAGAATAATGTATATATTGTTATTTATCGTTAATATAACTATCAATGGCTTGTTTAATAAAGGTGTTGTGTTTTATTTCAATGAGAAACTTCCAAAGTGCCTCATCTAAATGTAATAATCTCCACCTACAGACATCCTATTTATGTGATGCCACATAAATGAATGCTTAAATACACATCATGCAATGTGTGACAATCTCACATAAAGACAACATTATTTCCAGACTGTAGTGTAGTAATAGAAGTATTGGATTAGGGTCAAAAGTATCAAGTTTAAATTGTCATGCAGTCAAGAAGATCACTGGCTTTTGACTAGTCTGTATCTCTCAGCCAGACCTATCACACAAGGGAGAAATAGAAGGGTGACTTAGAAACAATACAAATAAATGAAAAATAAAATAGGTGAGACAGAAAATTAATAGGATTACGCAAGATAATAATTGTCAGAAATGTTACACTCTCAATACCTGCTTAATGTTTTTTAAAGTCAGCACAAGATTGCTTTCTCATTGTTGCATCACTCCTTGCTTGGGAAATGGTTATGCTGCTGGATTCCTTCCTGTCACGCAGCTGCTGAAAAGAACAGGAGCTGTGCCAGAAGAAAATATTCACAATGCTAGGAAATGGCAATGCTGACTCTGAGCCAAACTTCTATCATACAATGTGCTGCTATTGCTATACAACTTGTTTCTAGATCCATGTAGAGGTGTGAAATGGGTGAGCTTCCATCTGTCATCTCCAGCTTCTCATACAGAGATATGAGAGACTCCTCCCACAGAATGGTAAAACATCCGAGTGTCCACTGGGCAATGTCCTTGCAGATAGCCAATCCTCTCACACCAGAAATGACTTGCAGTTTCTCAGGTCGCTCCTGACACGAAAAATAATTGTCTTCTTCACTTTCTCTCACACACTGAACTCAACCCTTGTTTCACATACACTAGTCCCCCCAGTCTTCCTGGAATATGACATTATGGATAAATTAATGAATTAGTTTGACTTCACTTTGACTGGCATCTTTCCACGCTATGGAATCCCAGGAGTTGTAATTTTATGATATTTCTTGACTTCTGTGCCAAGGGTGCGAATGCATCCCCAAGCTACAACTCTCTGAATTCCATAACACTGATCCAGTTAAAGTGGTGCTAATCTGCATTAATTCTTTTGTACAACTTCACCTTATAAAATCTTCCCTGAAGTTTAATGTCTAAAGCTTTGTGCCATGCATTTGTTTCAGGAGTGGAAATTGTGCAGCAATCCAGATTTTGATGGACTACAATTCCCAACAACCTTAACCAGCAAAGTCAGTGCTGAGGAATACTGAGAATTGCAGTTCAGCAAGATGTGGAGAACCACCAATTTCACACCTCTACTTTGTGCATTTACTGTGTTGTAACTGAGTATTATAAAAAGACAGAGATCCACCCAGGTTTCTGTGTACACTGATTCTTGTCCTGGAGGAAATATACAACTAAAGGTTGGTGTAGTTGGTGTAGCCAGTGTTGTGTAGTGATTTGAAAGTGAAACCATGACTCTCCTCCTCAGTTATGGAATTCCACTGGATTACCTTGGACAAGTCACACTCTCTCAGCATTAGAGGAAGGCAAAGGTATTCCCCCAAATAAATCTTGCCAAGAAAACCCCATAATCGGTTCATTTTTGACTCACCATAAATCAGAAATGATGTGAAAACACCTATACTGTTTTTGTCTATGGGGATGGAATATTTCTAATCTTTAAAAGAAGCACGCTTGCATTGCAAATGTCTTATTTGCAATGCTCCAATCTCTCTGCAGCAGCTGCTGATTGAAGCAGTGAGGTTTCCCCTTCCCCAACCCAGATTTCTGTAGTAGTTTCTTCTAATAAAGTTTCTGGGAAGCCTGAGCACATTTGTGTGCTCTTTCGATTGGTCCAATAGAAATATTACATAAATACAGATTTTTAAACTAGTTTCAATAAGTTCTCGTTTGTATCGGCAGATACATACATTTTAAGATGATACAACAAAAACTGGAGAGCATAATAAGCTTTAAGTGGAGCAGCAAAAACGGAAGAACATCACACAAAATCCAAAAGATAAAGGGAAGATGGAAGATGCTCTGAATTCTTTATTTATAATTTTAATTCACATGTTTTCATTTGATTACCAAATGGTATTGGGAGTCCCTTTATCAGAAATTTCAAGGGATTTTACTAGGTATGTACAAGGTATTAGTAATGTGTTAATGCAATAACATGTAAATATAATAATACTGGCCTGTTGTGTTGCTGGTTCGGCTGCTGGACAAGACTTGGGGAGATCAGGGTTTAGATCTTTACCCAGCCTTTCATAAGTCATAATCAGCTTTTGAGGAAAATGACAAAACTCCTGAATAAATCTTGACAAGAACATCATATCACAGGGTCGCTGTAACTTTGGGTTGACTTAAAGGTACACAACAAAAACAATTTATAATATTATTTAATTAAGCATTCCTTCTACATCACTTGAAAACGGCCTTGGAATATTAATGTGTCAAAGCATGTTTTTTAGTGAATAAAGATTTATTCCAGCATCTGGAAGTATGTCTCCCCTTTCTCTTGTGTATTATTTATTTATTTATTATTTATTTACTTTGCTTATATACCGCTGTATCTCAAGCCCGAAGGCGACTCACAGCGGTTCACAAACAGTAAAAACAGTAGAAACAGCAGTGGTTCCATACAACATATAACAATTGACTTAACACATTATCCATAAATTACCAATAAGCAATTACAATGCACAATTATTACAAAAAAACAACAACCGTACCCAATCTTCTCATCATCCAAGCGTAGTCCAGGTTCGTCGTCCATTGTTCCATTCCTATGTTCCATTACCAGATTGCACTAAATTACTCAAACGCCTACACAAACATCCAGGTCTTCACCTTTTTGCGGAATACCATTAGAGATGGTGCTAGTCTAATGTCCGTAGGAAGGGCGTTCCACAGCCGAGGAGCCACCACCGAGAAGGCCCTATCTCTCGTCCCCGCCAGCCGAGCTTGAGAAGCAGGCGGGATCGAGAGCAGGGTCTCCCCGGAAGATCTCAAAGTCCTGGTGGGTTCATAGGCAGAGATGCGGTCAGATAGGTAGCTTGGGCCGGAACCGTTTAGGGCTTTAAAGGCCAACGCCAGCACTTTGAATTCAGCCCGGTAGCAGATCGGTAGCCAGTGGAGTTGGCGCAACAGGGGGGTTGTATGCTCCCTGCGCTCCGCTCCTGTTAAAATCATGGCTGCCAAGCATTGGACTAGTTGGAGCTTCCGAGCTGTCTTCAAAGGCAACCCCACGTAGAGAGCGTTGCAGTAGTCTAAATGGGATGTAACCAGAGCGTGGACTACCGTGGCCAAGTCAGACTTCCCAAGGTACGGGCGCAGCTGGCGCACAAGCTTTAGCTGTGCAAATGCTCCCCTGGTCACCGCCGAAACCTGGGGTTCCAGGCTCAGCGATGAGTCCAGGGTCACACCCAAGCTGCGAACCTGCGTCTTCAGGGGGAGTGCGGCCCCATCCAACACAGGCTGTAACCCTATGCCTTGTTCGGCCTTGCGACTGACCAGGAGTAGCTCTGTCTTGTCTGGATACAATTTCAATTTGTTCGCCCTCATCCAGACCGTCACAGCGGCCAAGCACCAGTTCAGGACCTGGACAGCCTCCTTAGTAGCAGGTGGAAAGGAGTGACAGAGTTGGACATCATCCGCGTACAGATGACACCGTACCCCGAAACTCCGGATGATCTCCCCCAGCGGCTTCATGTAGATGTTAAACAACATGGGAGACAATATTGAGCCCTGAGGAACCCCACAAGACAATGGTTGTGGGGTTGAACAGGTGTCCCCCAACAACACCTTCTGAGATCGACCCTCCAGGAATGACCGGAGCCACTGCAAAACAGTACCTCCAAGACCCATCCCTTCGAGGCGTCCCAGAAGGATACCGTGGTCGACGGTATCGAAGGCCGCTGAGAGGTCATAACAGCAGCTATTGATTATCTTATAATGCTGTGTTTCCTTAACATATCTTGTCATCATTCTCTATCCCATCTTGTAGGTGCATACTCAAGAAGTTGATGTAGAAGGAATAAAGAAATGGGGGTGTCATAGGGAGAGCAATGAAGGGATGGAGAACTACCTCTCCTCCAAACCTGGAGATTGAGGATCCCTTATTTTATTTTTTAAAGAGAAAACTTTTCTTGCTTTTGAAGAAAAAACTTCTAATGAAACTAGATAGAATGTTTCAAAGTGCTGCTATCTAGTGAGCCAAGTAATTTCCCTTCGGCAGGGAGAGAATTGCTGGGGAATAGAAGCTACAGAAAGAGAAAATAACTGCCCTCCCTAAGGCAAGTAAGCTATGCGGGGATACTAAAACAAATTGCAGGAAGATCACTACCCCTCATCTTCCATTTCCTTTTTTCAAAAGTAGGATAATAGTGGCCTGCTGAGACCTCTTCCACCCAGCTGAATAAAATCCACACTATCTGCTTTGAACTGGGATATATGACAGCATGGACTCAGAAAACCCTGTTCAAAGCAGATATTGTGGGATTTTCTGCCTTGATATTCTGGGCGATATGGCTGTGTGGAAGGGCCCTAAGAAACAAAATATGGTAATTAGCCCAACAACACTGATGCATCAGATTAGAAAGAGGTTTTCTTACAGATGATAATTTTAGCAGAGCATTTGGGTTACCCTTCCCTACAAATTACATGGCAGTGGCAGCATCCATCATGAGAAACCATTTCAAGATTGCCGCTTGGTAACATTGGGAATTGCTTATAGAATGCCCATTGACATGGAACTTCCTGGTGGTAAGATCTGTTCAGCAGTGGAATATATTGTCTCCTTGGGGTGTGGTGGAGTCTCCTTCTTGGGAGTCTTTTTAAAGTGGAGGTTGGATGGGCATTTTCGGGGGTGCTTTATTGTTTTCTGCTGCTCTGAAAACCAGGACATTTTCCTGCATGGTGGCATGTTGGTCTGGATGGCCCTTGGGGTCTCTTTCAATTTTATGATTCTTAGGGCCCTTCCACATAGCCATATCAAGGCAGAAAATCACACAATATCTGCTTTGAACTGGGTTATCTGAGCCCACACTGCCATATATTCCAGTTCAAAGCAGATAATGTGGGATTTTACTCAGCTGTGAGGAAGGGGCCTAAGATGTCCCTGGTAGATCAGGCAAGAGGCCTTTTTTATCTTGTATCCTCATCACCAAATGTTTCTGTGAAGCTGCTGGGCAAGACATAGATGCCACTGCACCCACTGACTGGTGTTCCCTAGCAGCCCATCTAGGGGGAGAATGGAAAGGGCCTGAGGCTGTTAGGAATGGTGGGAGTTGAAGTCCAAACCTCTGGAGGGAGGGCTCAAGTTTGCCCTGGCCTGGTAGTTTCTTGAGAGCCAGTATGGAGAGGTATTGTATGCCATGGTATTCCCTGTAGTAACCTACGGATGTGAGAGCTGGACCTTAAGGAAGGCTGAGCGAAGGAAGATAGATGCTTTTGAACTGTGGTGTTGGAGGAAAGTTCTGAGAGTGCCTTGGACTGCGAGAAGATCCAACTAGTCCATCCTCCAGAAAATAAAGCCCGACTGCTCATTGGAGGGAAGGATACTAGAGACAAAGTTGAAGTACTTTGGCCACATCATGAGGAGACAACAAAGCCTAGAAAGACAATTATGCTGGGGAAAGTGGAAGGCAAAAGGAAGAGGGGCCGACCAAGGGCAAGATGGATGGATGGCATCCTTGAAGTGACTGGACTGACCTTGAAGGAGCTGGGGGTGGTGACGGCCGACAGGGAGCTCTGGCGTGGGCTGGTCCATGAGGTCACGAAGCGTCGGAGATGACTGAACGAATGAACAACAACAACATGAGGCTGTTAGGAATGGTGGGAGCTGAAGTCCAAAACACCTGGAGGGAGGGCTCAAGTTTGCCCAGGCCTGGTATATAAATGTAGTTTCTTGAGGGCCAGTATGGAAAAGACCTGAGGCTGTCAGGAATGGTGGGAGCTGAAGTTCAAACCCCTGGAGGGAGGGCCCAAGTTTGCCCAGGCCTAGTATATAAATGTAGTTTCTTGAGAGCCAGTATGGAAAGGGCCTGGGAGTGTTAGGAATAGTGGGAGTCCAAACCCCTGGAGGGAGGGCCCAAATTTGCCCAGGCCTGGTATATAAATGTAGTTTCTTGAGGGCCAGTATTGAAAGGGCCTGGGAGTGTTAGGAATGGTGGGAGCTGAAGTCCAAAACCCCTGGAGGGAAGGCCCAAGTTTGCCCTGGCCTGGCCCAAAGTCTTACAAGAAACGGCTCCGTTCCTCCACTTCCTCCGCCGAAGGAAAGGCACCCGACGCTGGAGTGCTTCCGGGTCAGCGGGAGGCACGCGCGGGGAGTGGGGGGGGGGGGGGGGCTCGCGGGGGGAGGAGGAGGAGAGGCCGCGAGAGGGGAAGGAAGGAAAGGGTCTCGCGCGTATATGCGCATGCGCAGGGGGCCAGGCCCGCTCTGCCTCGTCGAAGGAGTCTGAGGGAAGGAGCCGCCGCGGGAGCAGGAAGCAGCCCTGGCTTCTTCCCCCGCCGCCGCTGCTGTAGCCATGTCCCTGGGCCAGTACGAGCGGCACTGCGACTCCATCAACTCCCTCGACTTCGAGAACGACTCCTCCGGCCGCAGCACCATTAACAGTATTAACAGCGCCCCCCGGCCTGCCCCGGCCTTGGCTGGCGAGCAAGAGGAGCTGCACTACGCCCCCATCCGCACCCTGGGCCGCGGCGCCTTCGGGGAGGCCACGCTCTACCGCCGGACGGAGGTAAATACTGCCCAAGGAATGCCATGGCTCGTGGGAGCTGTAGTTTTTCAAGGCCTTGCCTGCCAAAGAGCGCTGGGGCCTCACCAGACTACAACTCCCAGGATTCCATGGTGGTCAAAGGGTTCCTTAATGCTACAGCAGGTATGGGCAAGCTTGGGCCCTCCAGGTGTTTAAGCGGCTGAGGGGGGAAAGGAAAGGGCCTGAGGCTGTTAGGAATGGTGGGAGTTGGAGTCCAAAACACCTGGAGGGAGGGCCCAAGCTTGCCCATACCTGTGCCACAGCATAGGTGCGCCCCAGGTTTGTTGTCATGTAAAAGTAGCGCAAGGGAAATTGACACACAAAGTGTGATGTCATGTCACATCAAAGAAAGTGGACAGAATGGAACTCATATTGAAATAACATAAACACAAATGGGAATCATGATGTGAGCAGAATTCAAAACGATCTTACCAGACTAGAGAGATGATTGGCCAAAACTAACAAAATGAAATTCAACAGGGACAAATGCAAGATACTTATTATTTATTTTATTTATTTACTTTACTTGTATACCGCTCTTCTCAGCCAATTAGGCGACTCAGAGCAGTTAACAATAAGAAGCGGCAAAAATTCAATGCAACACATACAGCCATTTAAAAACAATTGACACATTAACACACTAAGCAATTACCATCAGTGACCATCTATAGCATCAATAACAATTCAATAGCATCTCATAACTAAAATCATAATCCAAGTTCGTCATCTGTTGTTCCGATTCCTATAATTCATTGTGATTCATTGCACTGCCTATTCAAACGCCTGTTCGAATAACCAGGTTTTAAGTTTCTTCCGAAATGCCATCAATGAGGGGGCTGATCTGATGTCTATGGGTAGGGCGTTCCACAGCCGAGGGGCCACTACCGAGATACTCCATTTAGGCAGAAAAAAAATGAAATGCAAAGATACAGAATTATTATTATTATTATTAACTTTATTTGTACCCCGCTAGCATCTCCCGAAGGACTCGATGCGGCTTACAAAGGCCAAGGCCTCAAAACACAACATAACAATACAACACCTAAAGCAAATTAAAAAAAATTAAAGCAATATTAAACAACAAGCAATAGACAATACATCAAGACACTATAAAACTGGGCCGGGCCAGAGTAATGGGTACAGAATTAAAAGTGCTGATGTGACAGGTGATATGTAAGGATTATAGGGTAAGTGCAGTGTAACCTTTTAATGCATGTCCTTTGTTTGATCTCTGTTTTGTCTGTTTTGATGTGTATTTTTTAGAGGTGCCTTTTGGTGTGTGGTATTTATGGAGGTACATTTTATTGCATGTATTTGTAGTGTTTTTGCTGTGTTTATATATTTCGTTTTGTAACCCATCTTGAGCCAGGAGGAGAGGCGGGTAAGAAATAAAATTATTATTATTATTTACCTTAATTCCTCATCAAAAAGGAAACCATCCCCTTTTCTAAGTAGAGTGGCAAAAGGAAAGCTCTTAGGCCCCTTCTACACTGCTGTGTAATCCAGATTCTCAAAGCAGATAATCCATATTATCTGATTTGAACTGGATTATATGAGTTTACACTGCCATATAATCCAGTTCAAAGCAGATAATATGTATTTTATATGGCAGTGTAGAAGGAGCCTGAGTCTACCCCTGTAGAACCTAAAAGAAGCAATGATCTCCTCTACGCTCTCTGCTATGGCACCACTTCTGGCCTTTTTGAGGCCCTGGCTGTGGAAATAATAACAATTATATAATAATAATAGTAGAAATAATAATAATAATAATAATAATAATAATAATAATAATAATAATAATTTTTCTTTATTACTCACCTCTCCTGATGAGAATGGTGGTGGAGGCCAAGGGCAGCTCGCCCTGGGGTAGCATTGATGCTTTCCCCTCTCTGCAGAGATACTGAATAGATAGTTTAGTTTTAATTTGTGTGACAAGATTTGTTGCTCACAGATTTGTGACCAGAGTTGTGTCTTATGGTTTAGAATAAGTCTTTACAGAATCTGTAGAATCATAGAGTTGGGAGATGCTACAAGGACCAACCAGTCCAACCTCCTTCTGTCACACAGGATCATAGAATCAAAGCACTCCCAACAGATGACCATCCAGCTTCTGCTTAAAAACCTCCAGAGGAGGAGACTCCACCACACTCCCAAGGAGGTAGCATATATCACTGCCAAACAGCTTTTACTGACAGGAAGTTCTCCTTAATGTTTTGGTGGAATCTTCTCTTCTATAATTTGAATCCATTGCTCCGTTGTGCCCTAATCTTTGGAGCACCAGAAAACAAGCTTGCTTTCTCCTCAAGCTGGAATCCTTTGGAAAATGTAAACCTGACTGTCATGTGTAGAATGGCCCTCATCTTATCAATGGGTTGTATCAAAACCCATATTTTTTTCACCCAAGACCTACCCTGAACGCATACACGAGGTCAGCTTATATGAGTATATACGATAAATTGTCATCCAACTGTGTTTCCATATACAGAATCCTTTCTAATCTGTCTGCCTTTTGTCCTGGCTGCCAAGTTTACCCTTTTGTCAGATAGGGCAACATTTATCCCATATTTTGAAATAAGGAACTGGAAAAGGACAGATATTTCAGCTAGCTTTCTACTTGCTGTGGATGGTCCAGATAACATTTTTCCAACTGCCTGTCTTCCGACAATTATTTTCTGTCTTCTAAATGCCTATGTTTCTGGACTATTATGGAGTACAAAAAATAGTTGGCAGTTGTCATCCAATCAACATGTGGTTTCGTACAGATGTGAAATCTTTATTTTCAAAATATTTGAGAATGGTTTTTCTTGAGAAATGAACCCAAGAGCTCCTCACTTGTCAGTTTATTTTTACATTTTCTCCCCTTAGCCGATCCCTATGATATCTTCTTTCTTGTGCCACCCACAGACATTGGGGGGAGGGGGCTTCCTTTCTTTCCAACATATTTGCTACATTTCCAAAGTGTATTCAGAGGCACATGGTACTCCTTTTCATAGCTGTCCATACACTTTATAATGTATTTGTTGTCTTTGGCATTTTCTTCCTTGTCCAGACACAAACTCTCAATTTCTGCACTGAGAACTCCCCTCTCCATTTTCTGGAGGACCACATAGTTCCCATCCTTGCTTTATTGTCCCAAAACTGCCAGGCAATAGTTTGGAAGACAAAGCTTTGGTTAGGTTTGGTGTAGATTTAGTTTTACCATTTGTAAATTTTTCTCAGGATCAGCTAAAATCACTATGCAGTTAAAAGCATTCTAGCTCCTCTCTTATAGTGAGAAGGGGATTTATAGCTGATTGTCCAGAGAATGATTAGTATGATATTGTCGAAGGCTTTCATGGCTGGAATCACTAGGTTCTTGTAGGTTTTTTCAAGCTATAGGGCCATGTCCTAGAGGCATTTCTTCTGACGTTTCGCCTGCATCTATGGCAAGCATCCTCAGAGGTAGTGAGGCTGAGACCTTGCCATAGATGCAGGCGAAACGTCAGGAGAAATGCCTCTAGAACATGGCCCTATAGCCCGAAAAAACCTACAAGAACCTAGATTAGTATGATAATTTATTTTCCCTGAAACCGTATGGCATAATATATCAAAAGCAAGATTATGATATTAATCTGGAACTAAACACCGGGTTTAACAAACTTCCTGCAAATAGCTGCCCTATGGTGAGAAGCTAAACTGTGCATTGATAGAAGAATTTAAAACTATGCTATATAGTTATGACTGAAAATGTCTCCAAAACTGCTATTTGGCATGGAAACAAAGGGAATGTTCTTTGATACCACTTATTAGTTTTCAGTTCTATTTTGGCATCTGGAAAACTAGGGCATCTAAAATGTTTGAAAGTGAAATGTCATAGAAGGATGTAGAGGTGTTGCTTCCTTTCTAACAACTTCCTGCAGAGGGCAGAAAAGGAATGACAGGAAGGATGAGAGGAAAGATAAAGCAGCTGTAGCATTGTATCATATTTCGGTAAGGATTTGCAAGTATTTCAGTTATAGTTCACAGAGTCTGATAACAAAGGCTATTTGTGTTGATGAAGGAAGTGGAATATTTAAGAAAGACTTCTTAAACAAGATTATTAATAAGGTTTTCATGCAGTACCCAAATCAATCCTAATCTTAAGTGAATCAGAAAAAATTATGTGCAACTTGGACTTACACCTCATTGCTTTCCTGAGGTGAAAATGGTTTAACAGGACCCGGTTAGTTCAAAGGACTCAGTAATATGTAGTGCTGTTTTGTGAGATAGAGGTGGAACTTTTTCCAGTTATGTAGCTATCTATTAAACAATGCAATGCCAAACTTTTCCATTGTTTTCTTGCTTATTAAAATTCTATTAATAGGTTTACATCATTAGTACATGCATTCCCTGTGACAGAAGGGAATCTTGAAGTGCCCAATTAAAATAATGTTCTTTTTAATAGGGTAAGAATCATATGTTCAAAGTCCTTGATATAGATCCAAAGACTACAATCGTTTTAATTCACCTTATAGACTAGCTTGTTGAAATCACAGTATGATTGCAGGCTTCAGCTTCAAAGATTGAATATTGCTACAAAATAGCCTTTTTTTGTATTTTTCTGTGTAAAGCAATGATTGAAATGTCTGATGATTCCCATGTCCTTGTTGTTTCCAGTTATGTAATGTAGGTTTTATTTGGGTTGACTTGTATATGAAATAAAAACACAATCCCTCCTTTGTATCATAATAAAAAAAGGAAGAGTGTCAGCTGTAGATACTGATTCTTGGCATTAGAAATCGGGGACATTCATTTGAATTCCATTGAGAATTTTTGTTGGGTCAGAAAGTAAATACAACATTAAATAAAAAAAAACTCCTGAGAAATGAACTGTGAAAGACTAGGTTTGCATTTAATTGATTTTCTTATATTCTAGGATGACTCACTTGTTGTGTGGAAGGAAGTGGATCTTACCAGATTATCAGAAAAAGAACGTCGTGATGCTTTGAATGAGATTGTTATCCTTGCTCTGCTGCAACATGACAACATCATTGCCTATTATAATCATTTCATGGATAACAACACGCTGCTGATTGAATTGGAGTACTGTAATGGTGAGAGTTCTGTTTTGTAAACAGCAAGCACCTCTTCCATTTTGGGTGCTGTGAGGAAAGACAAAACACAGAGAAGCTTCTCTTTGTTTATAGATATGCGTCTGTGCTGGCAGATGTAGAAACACAAACCAGACTTGACTTGGAGCACTGACACTTATGTTTCACAGATATATAATTTCCCAGATATATAAACTATAAAATATTTTTAGTGGCAAAGTAAACTTAGATAAATCAGATCAAGTATTACAAAATTAAATGTGTACTAGAAAATAGAGTCTGAACCTAAGGTCCTAGGTTAATTGTTGTGGCTGAATTGTTGCACTTTACTATTGCATATCGTGATCACAAAAGTGGGTCGACAAGTCTTAAAGCTAACACAGAAAATCAATTCATATGTGGCATAATGGATGTTCTTGAAATTTTCCTGTTTTTTTATATTGATCTGTGATGGCTTCCTTTTGGATGATATTTTTAGCTCACCCCAGATAATCCTAGCCGGCATTAATATTCTTATACTTTTTTGCATTTGAACAACATTAGAATGTTCATGATAAACTAAACTGAACTGTTTGTATACATGTCATCATAATGATAATAATTCTGAAAGCAATAATGCCACTTTCCAGGTTGACATAAGTAATACATATACATATAAGACATAACTAATACATATACATATAAGAAGAGCTTTTACAGATGTTAACAAATAGGTCTGTTTCCCTGAACCTTTTGTCTAAATTTGCATCCACTTGGCTTAGGGTGGTTTATGGTAAGCAAAAGTGAAGAAAAGAAACATCCTATTTCTATGGAAAGGAAATAGTATTAGAAGATACTTAGATAATGTCAGGTAGACACTTGTGTCACATTTGCAGTTAGTAATTAAGCATTTTGCTCTTTTAATTGCAGGAGGAAATCTCTATGATAAGATCCTACGACAGAAAGACAAGTTGTTTGAGGAAGAGGTAACTAGAACCATTTCAGAAGAAAAAGAAGAGTCTAGCTCTACTTGTTTCCATAGGATAAACAGAATGTGTCATCTGTGTATGAAACAAGAAGCTTTTTCTTTTATATTCTAGTAGTAAATGAAGATTCTGATTCTTGATATTAATCATCACCTAACAGAAACAAAAATTATAAAACTATACTGATGCTTCCTTATAGCTGCAAATACTTCCAACATCCTTTGTCACTACCTTTCAAACAGGGTTTGAAGAAATATATAAAACATCTGATTATGTTGATTTTAAATACTTTGGGGATACTACTGATACAGGGAATTCTACTATTCTTACGTAAGAGAGAAACCACATGCTGATAAGGCCTGCTGCATTATTTGATTGATGTCAGAGATTCTGCAGATTCCTAAAAGCAACACTAACTACTTAAGCTGTTTTAATTATATCCGCTTTAGTGTATCTTAAAGGGTTTTTTTTATAGATTAGTCAACATTTTACCCATTGTACATTATCATTTACTAATAGCAAGGATGGAGAAAACATGGCCCTCCAGATGTTGTTGGACTGCAACTTGTATAAGCCATAGCACAGTGAAGAGGGATAATGGGAGTTGCAGTTCAACAATATGAGAGGGTTAAATGTTCTCCATCACTAACTGACAGCATTAATTTCTGAATTGCAGAATGAGCCTTAAGGACTCAGTTTGAAGATTCTAAAGATATAAAGATGTCATGGTAGCTTTGAAGTATTAGTTGTCACTCCTAATTATTCTTTGTATTTAGGTTACCAGTTTATGTAGTTCCTGTCATCCTGAATCTTGAAGGCCTCATGAGCTCATAATTGTGGAAAGAATACCTTTTGAAAAGATCTTAGGGAAACAACAGTTTTAATGTGGTTCAGCTAGAGTATGTACTGTTTTCTAAAATGTCTTATTTATGTGTGAATCTTTCTTTGCAGATGGTGCTGTGGTACCTTTTTCAGATTGTATCAGCAGTGAGTTGTATCCACAGGGAAGGAATACTTCACAGGTGAGTTTTCAGTGAAGTGAAGGTTCTTTGGCTTAGAGTCTGAAAATAAGAATTTAATAGGTCAGGGAATGTGCAGGCTTCTTTTCAATTGTTCTTGTTTTCAAACCACAACAAATCTACAGTTCCTTCTGCCTCCTGGTTCTTTTTTGGTTTACAAAAGCTAGTAATACCAATTAAACAATTAGGAGCATTTTTGTAGCTACATCCTGCTGTGGAGCTTGCTTCCTGTCTTGTTTCCTTGTTGATGGACACACTGTGTAAAGACCTGAATTTTTCAGCAGGCCCTTAATCTGCTGAGTTTGCTCTACTCTTTCCCCTGCTATCAATCTCTGCTTTTGTGCCTGTTTCTTAAATTGTCTTTGTAATTTTTAAAATGATTTATTGTATTTATTCTTGGATATTTCTTGTGGAAAGGTGAAGCATAAACATTGTGAATAAATTAATAACAGTGTAGATTAGAATGGATGCAAAGTGGTTTGCTTTGTGTTCCTTTGAGCACAGAAACTAGATTTCCCAATAGGGATTACTTCCTGCTTTTGTAGACTGGATGTCTGGATTATACATGTATGCATTTCTATTATAATTTATTCTACTAGTATTTTCTTATTCATATTTGAATGCTACATTTCTAGTATGAGACATAGGAGAGTCTTATCAGATTAAGTGCTTCTTGGAGTGCAGTGTTTTTTTGCCAAATGATCGGTGAAACTGGCATGTAATTTGTCTGCATTTTCCCTAAAAAGAATTAATCTTACATTTAGAGTGGCTCTGCTATTCATGTCCAGAAGTGCCACTGAATTCAGTGGATTTTGTGGTTTTTCAGGTCTCCTTCAGACCTTCCTTCAGATTAAACAAAATATGATTAGAACTGTGTTTTCAAGTTGCTTTGATTTTAACATTAATGTAATATATGTTTTCCATGAAACTAGAAACAAACTAGGGACTGTTTCTAAAAACTGGGGAATAAAATCATTAACATTAGTCAACATCAATCAGCACCACAAATTAAAACAATACTGTTTTTGTTTATATCACCATAAATATTATTTATTTATTTATTTATTTAGAAGTTTTCTATACCGGCCTTCTCACCTCGACGAGGGACTCAGGTCGGTTTACAGCATGTATAAAATACAATCATATAAAGAACAACAAGTACAAATTCATTACATATTAAAATAGTGCAATACAGTACAATAAAACATCATCATTACAATTACCTAAGCCAAATCGTCAATCTAGTCATGGTCATAGTCATACTCGTAGTCACAGTTCATGATAATTCATCACAAAGAGAGGTTCTAGGTTCAGTCCTCAAATGCCACATTCCAGTCAAAAAATTAAGGATTTGTGAACTAGCAGTTGGCTTTGGGGTTGAGACTCCAATAATTAAAAATAATGAGTGAATGGTTTCATATTGATAGTAGTATAAATGGCATGGAAGCATATTAAGATTGGAATACTGTTTATTAATGCCAACTACATTAGACCCATTGAATCAATTGTTCAGAGATAAGTCATCTCATAAGTAAATCCCACAGGTTTAATGGGTTTATTCTAGTCAGCACTAACAATAAGATTTAGGTCTAAGTCTTTTGGCAGGTAATTTGAAGAAATATATCAAATTGTAATTCTTTCTTCTCTAGAGATATAAAGACATTGAATATCTTCCTTACCAAAGTAAATCTTATCAAACTGGGTGACTATGGCTTGGCAAAAAAGCTGAACTCGGAGTATTCCATGGCTGAAACTGTGAGTGTTTGCTGATTCATTATATAGATAGATTAATTTTCCTGCTCACCTATTTGAGAATTATAAGCATGTTGTCAGTGGTTTGACATGATTTGATGCTATCACTTAGTCATTTTTCATGTTGTGACAGCTAGGGTTCTAGGGTAACCCTATTTTATCTTTCATGAGCAGTGCACAGATGTGTGCTGGCTGATCTCAAATAAAATCATTGAATGTTTTGTTAATCGTTTGTTTAGTGTAACAGCATTGCAGGTGTGACTCCCAAGCTGCATGTGATACCCATACCCTATGTTTGTGGACTTTAAAGCACCTAAGCAGTCCCCAAAGCTCCCTCATCCCCACAATTTTGATTTTTGGTGCAATTGTTAAAGTGATTATCATATGAAAATTATGCCTGGAGTTCCACAAATGTGTGCAAACATGGAAAACACCCTTAGAACACTGTTCACACTCTTAAAATACTTTTTTTTTCTCTGGACTCTCCAAAGTAGTTACAGAAAGTGGTGGACTTTGACTATGAAATGGAGAGAATATACTTTGGGAGGTTTGTGAGGGTGCACACAGTTCACATTTGAAGTCAGGATGGAAAATTGGCCCTTGGCTTTCACACAGTTGCCCTTATCTTCTTTCATGGGAGATCCAAACCTGTCAGGGCACAGCACTCAGGCTTGTTTGTCACCTCTTCCCCACCAACAAGTCAATAGTAAGCAGTGGATTATTTCTCTAGCTCATTGGGGCTGACGGGGGAGCCAAAGTGCTGAATCCTTCTTAGTTTGTTGATAACATTAAACCAGGTATAGATAGCTTTGGTAGTCCAAAAGCTTGTTTCTATGCCTTGAACTCGCTAAGGGTTTCATAGACTGTCAAAATGGCTATGAAATGAAAAGCAAACAAATCGCATTGGCTTTTGAAAAACCATTTTAATGTTAAATCCAATTGTATAATTTCCATAGTCAAATTTTATAATTACTGATATGTCTGTATTGTTTAATAACAATTCTTGTCAAAATAATTTTGAATTAGATACTGTAAATCTGTGCTTCTTAGCTCCTCGCAGAATATCATAGGTATTGTTGACAAGGAGAAGTGGACATTCTTGCTTCCCTGATGAATATAGCTGTTTAATGTATGCATCACATATACAACTCATAAAAGGAAGTACAGTGTAAGAAACAGCCTCATAGTTTTGCATTTTCCAAAAAGGAATGTTAGCATCAAAATATTAGAGCAGGATCTGTTTACTGTTATTATTGCAGGAGTAGAATATATTTTGAAAGAAATAAGTGAAACTGGGTACATTTTTCTATATTTTCTTCATAAATGTATATGCAGTATCCAGTGATTTAAATTAGAATGTTTGTTATTTTAATGGTCCCTGCACTTTTAGTAGCAAATCATTACATATCATATTCTATTTCTCCTATTATGCAAAAACGGGAATTTTGGCTAGATTAGGAATCAAATTATCATGTCGGAGACACACCATTGTCCACACTGAAAACAAAAAATACAGGAAAAATTGAAACAGAAGTTAGAAGGCAAACACTTTCAGATCTAATTTTTGGATGCGGGGGCACTGAGCTTGCAAAGAGGGGCAGCCCGCCTAAATAGAAAACTGCTCCAGAGTTCTTCCAGAAACAGAAGATAACAAATTTGTATCCTTGCTTATGCTGGCTGGTCCGTGAGTTCCCATTCATTTTGCTTCCTTTTACAAGCTTTCAGTCTTTAATATTACTCTAATAACTATGAAACATCAGTTGTTTGGGGATAGACTTATTTATGCATCCCCGAAATATAGTTTACCTATAATTTAAAGGTTTTGGACAGGATGCTAGATGTGCTAAATCATGGTTAAAACATGGTCAATTTTTATTTTCTATTTTGTGTGTAGTGGGGACTCTAATAACAACAACAACAACTCTATTTTTGCATCCCGCTACCATCTCACCGAAGGGACTCAGGGTGGCTTAAATGGGGACCAAGCTCAGTCAAATAGATTAAAATCAAAACACTGTAAAAATACAGATACAAAACATCATAAATGCATAAATCATCAACAACAACCAGTAGACAAAATGGATATGGCACTTGCAGTAAAAAACTAAATAAAGTCTAATCATCATATATGAAGAGTGGGCAGCATATTGCTAACAATATCCTTTGTTTTGTAGTTGGTAGGAACTCCATATTACATGTCTCCAGAGCTTTGCCAGGGAGTAAAATACAACTTTAAATCTGATATCTGGGCAGTTGGCTGTGTTGCCTTTGAGCTCCTCACACTGAAGAGAACTTTTGATGCAACAGTAAGTCACAGTTATAGAACAGTTTTGTCAGTGATGAACACTGTATGAGTTTCGATTGTCTTTTTGTCTTTGTATATGTGTGTTTAGAATCACCTCTTCAATTTTAGTAATGTATGTCAGTGAAACATCCAGATCAATAGGATATCTCTTCTAGGATATTTTAGAGATGCCAGTTCTTTTTGGTCTATTTCTGAAGTCTCTGACCTGTCTAGAATAGTTATTGTATACTAGCCATCCCCTGCCGTGTGTTGCTGTGGCCCAGTCTGGTGATCTGGAAAATAAAGTAATGAGAAAGTGTTGGTTTCTAATATATGTAATTTCTTTATGTTTGTAGGTAAACAGTATATGATTACGTTTTCTTGCCCTGGTGAAGGGGGTTGTACTGGATGGCCTTAAGTATTTTCTATTGGTCATAGGAGTTCTGTGTGGGAAGTTTGCCCCAATTCTATCGTTCGTGGGGTTCAGAATGCTCTTTGATTGTAGGTGAACTATAAATCCCAGTAACTACAACTCCCAAATGTCAAGGCCTATTTTCCCCAAGCTCCATCTCTGTTCCTAGTTGGGCATATGGAATACTCATGCCAAGTTTGGTCCAGATCCATCATTGTTTGACTCCACAGTGCTCTCTGGATGTAGGTGTACTACAACTCCCAAACTCAATGTCAATGCCCACCAAACCCTTTCAGTATTTTCTGTTGGTCATGGGAGTTCTGTGTGCCACGTTTGGTTCAGGTCCATCATTGGTGGAGTTCAGAATGCTCTTTGATTGTAGGTTAGCTATAAATCCCAGCAACTACAATTCCCAAACGACAAACTCAATTTTTTTGAGTGATGGTCACTGCTTGGGTTAGTAGGTGTCTTGTGGCCAAATTTGGCGGCAATTCGTCCAGTGGTTTTTGAGTTATGTTAATCCCACAAACGAACATTACATTTTTATTTATATAGAAGATGAACCAAAGTGAGAAAGTACACAAGCCAGATCCACCGACCATCTTCCCAGGCATTTTTTTTCTCTTGTTTCCTTCCTAGAATCCCTTGAATCTCTGTGTGAAAATTGTGCAAGGGAACCGGGCAATGGAAGTTGATTCCAGTGTTTATTCTCCAGATTTCATCCAGATGGTACACTCTTGCCTTGATCAGGTTAGTGAGATACCGTTTTCTTTCAGCTTTCTTTATTTTTGTCACAGAGCTTCAAAATGAAGTGGAGGAAAGGCCTTAGAACAATTTAATATCTGAAAATATACATCTGTGAGAATACTATTTGGGCTTTGCACATTTAGTACTCCTGGTTGCTCAAAAACAATCTGGAAGCTGCTAAAATACCTCTACCTTTGAAGAGCCTTTACTATTGAACTTTTGACTAATTCTATACTTTTGATTCTCTTTATTTTGGGAAACTGGGGAAAGACCACAAGGACGTGGTTAGTTAATCTGACCTAAAACTTAATTGCTGAAAAATGATCCCTTTCCTTAGGGAGTGACCTGTCACTCACCTCTTTCAGGATCCTGAGAAGAGGCCTACTGCTGATGAACTGCTTGAGAACCCTGTTATCAGCAAGCGCAGGAGGTAAACTTCCTTATGTGCCTTGGACATGAATTAGTCTTATAGGTTAAGCGTGGCCACAGAATCATCTACATCAGGGGTGGATTATTTTTTGTGTTGCGTTTGTTAGGCTACTGAGAGTTGCAGTTCAATACAACAGTTTTCACCTCTATTTTACTGCCTAGTTCAGAGTTGGACAGCTTCAGCGGGTTTGGGAGCCATTATTTTACCCCTGGGGCCTTCTAGAAGCCATGTGAACTGCCAAAAATAAATAAATGGAAAATACCTTTGGTGTTTTTCCCCCCTTTGTGACAACAGTTGTAGTGGAGGATGCGCTGGGTCCTATTTAACAGATTATTATTATTATTAATAATAATAATTTATATTATTGTTTCTAGAGGGTAGTGGTTGGGAGCTAACATAGGGACTACACATGACCCTCAGGATGCAGTGTACCTACCCCTGGTGTATTCTTACTGGTATTTCACATATTTTGTCACCTGGGCTGGCTATTCACTGACAGTTGACTGCTTTTCATATTAAAATTACATACATGAACACTTTTCCATATTTCTCCAGAGTATTTAACCATGCAGAATTTATGTCAGAGGTTTATTTATTATTTACTATATTTGTATACCGCCTTTCTAACCCCGGGGGCGGGAGGTAGGGAGATGAACTGAAGGCAGTTTACAACATACTAATGGCAAAAATTCAATGCCAACATACATGTAAACAGAAAAAATCATAATAACTAAACACTAACATATAACTATAAATTAAAATCATTAAAACCATAAAAACATGAGACATAAACAACATTTAAGCATTTAAAAAGCAATTTTTCACAGATTGCAGGGTCCTGTGAAATGCAGTGTTCTATGATTCTAAAATATACCCAGAGATATTTTTTTTGTTTCACCAGCCTCCTCCTTTCTTAATATTTATTTTTGGTGACTGAAACAAAAAGCACAGATCTTTAAACCTCTGCAAATGATTTTTTTTTAGTTTGGGGTGAGAGAAGTTTGGATCTATCCTACAGCACTTAGCTGTTTGGTTTTGAGTTCAAGACTGAACTACTGCACAGCTGTAGAGAGACTCAAACAGCTATGAGACAGTAAGCACTAGCAGAGGTTTCCTTTTGGAGAAGGAGGAAAGGGAAGCAATTTTTGTCAATTCCCCTTTAATGTCTGTAGTCCTCAGTACTATCTTGTCTGCTGTTCAGGAGAATATCCTGATGTTTCAGAGTAACCTTAATAAAGAAAATGTGAAATTGGTAAAATTGCTTCCCTTTCCAATAACTCTGGATCCATATTCTCCAAGCCTAATTCCATTCAGGACAAACAAATATTTTCTGGGTGTGAAGTAGTATAAAATACTGGGTTGGAATTTTGTTTCTCTATGGTTTATTGTTTTGTTTTTTTTTGTTTTTGTTTTTTTGTTTTTGGTTTTTGAACAGGCTTGTTCATGTTTCACCACTGTCAGTGATGTGGTATAGTTTGGCTCCTGTTTTGCTTAATGTGTTTGTAACTTGTATTGGGATTCCCTGTTCAGAGTGCTATACTAATAGATTGTTATTAGTCTTTAATCACTTGTTCTTTGTCCTGGCAGGGAAATGGAGGAGAAAGTTGTACTGCTTAATGGCCCAAATAAACGACCAAGGTAATGAAATAGGTGCTGAAGAGTGTAACTGAAGATAATAGATTTCTAGCTTTACCGGTATTTACTCTTTACTTGGCTATAGAGCAATATTATATTTAATATATTTTCAGAGTATAGCCATCCCATCACATTTGTGGTTTTGACTTTTCCAGATTTGATTATTCACACATTTGATTTTAAAAGTTATCTCTAGGAATATCCATGTCCTTCAGTGTGAGTCGATAGTCAGCTTCCTCCAGTTATGCTGAAGATTTCGGGAGAGTAAACCTTCTCTATGAATCTCCAGGTCCTCCAATGTGATTCTGTGGTCAGCTTCCAGCAGAAATTGATTATAGAGTCATGCTGGAAGACTTAGAAATGTATAGATAGATTTAAAAAATAGCTATTTCTTTTTTCATGGTTTTTCACTTTTACCTCAGCAAATGTGGTCTAACTGTATATGTGAAAGTAGAGTTCTAACATAATTATATTTCACAGAACTTGGAATTTCTCCTTTAACTCTTGATTCATTCATCCTTCATGGTAGATTTTTTTACTTCATATCAAACTATATTTTAAAGCCTTATACTGTTGGATACTTCTTTTATTGTCTTCATTGCGATGAAAGAAGAAGGGCCCTAATATTGGAAATATATGCATCTGTATGTTATGCTAATGTTCTGAGTAGCATCACTTTAGCATTTAATTTCTTTCTCATTGATTACATTTGTTCACATTGCATTGTCATGCATTGTCAGAATAAAATCAGTTCCAATGTTTACTTTATTTGCAACATTTACTTGCCGGTTTTTTATGGTCCTTGCTTCAAAATTTGTGATTTTTTTATGTTGCTTCCTAAAACATAAGTCTGTTTCAGAGACTCAATTGAACAGATACTGTTCTAACTAAGATACTCTAAGACCATCTATTGAACTTAGATGTTGAGTTCCCAATGATTCAGTAGACTTCTTCTAGTTGGGATTAGCAATTGGATGTGTGCTTTGAAAAACTAGTAGAAGTTATACAAAGTGTCTTCATACTTGGCTCTTGTTTCTTACAGAACCAGTACCATGAATGATGCTCCCATTGCTGTGGTGACTTCACGTACCAGTGAAGTATATGTATGGGGGGGTGGGAAGTCCACTCCTCAGAAGCTGGACGTTATTAAAGGGGGCTGCAGTGCACGACAAGTCTGTGCAGGAAACACCCACTTTGCACTGGTGACAGTAGAGAAGGAGCTCTATACCTGGGTGGTAAGTAAAGAAATTGGAAATAAATAGGAAAAGTTAGAAGGAGATTGTAAAATGGATCATTGCATTTAAATTCAGAATCTTAAAATCAGTCATTAACTTAGAATCATTTATTACAATCGCACATTTGCTCCCTCTGCTTCCCAGGGAGAATATAATGCACAGGGGCGACCAGCTTGGCATCATCCGTCTGCCAAAGAAAAAATATCAGGAGCAAGATTGCCCTGCACCCAGACCCCTCCAAAAAAATGTCAGTTGCTTCCAACTATTAGGTTGCCCTAGAATGGTGAAGCTGTATTAACAAGTATTGAGGCTGAAACTACCCAATTCAGTGTTTTGTTCTCATAGTATCAAGTCATATACTTATGGGAATTTTAAAAGCAGGAGGAGAGTGCAATATCACTCTTCTTGTGTTCTCCACAGCAACTATTTGGCCTTCAATACTGAAAATAATGACTGAGGTCCAATTAGCAGGTTAGCAGAGCATATGCCTTTGGAATGTCTGCAAAACCAGATAGATAGGTGTCACTGGGAGATTCTAGGTAATTGGATTCTAACTAATATTTGCCACCATTACTTATCTTCTCTGAAAGCATTGCTTTTAATAAAAAAGAAATGTTCTGAGCGTCAGAAAGGAGGAGCAGAATAAACCTTGGATAAAGCTAGTACAAAATAAATCTTATTTAAGGCATAGTTTATATATTCTGTTTCAAAAAAGCTTTTTCCCCTTGCAAATGTATTACCATTTTGAGATGGCATTATGTCATTATTGATTACTGGTACTACTGTACAGAAATCTTCCATTATTTTTGTAAATAGTTTTCATGTATGAAGTGATAAGGAGCATTAGCTTGATATGAAAGTTCAACCTTCACCTGCTTAAGGACAGTATACAAAGTATCTATCATACATGCACCAGGTTGTTAACAACGCCACTTAAAGTTCTAGTTTGCATACTTTTTATACTATGCAATGCTTTTGTTTTTTACAGAACATGCAAGGTGGCACCAAATTGCATGGTCAGCTAGGGCATGGAGACAAAGCCTCGTATCGACAGCCAAAGCATGTGGAAAAACTACAGGGAAAAGCTATTCACCAAGTGTCTTGTGGAGATGACTTCACTGTTTGCATTACAGGTGAGAAACAGGTTAAACACACAAATATATATGCATTGGAAACTGAAATATACTGACCAAAATATAAAAGATAACATTTGATAACAAGAAAATATGAAATGCTCTGACACTATCAAAATACAATTAATCTGCAGGAAAAACAAGCTTGCAGTTGGTTTAATGCAGTTTTGAAATTAGTTCTGTTTTCCAAAAACACAATTATGAATGTTTCTTATATAGTTTCATCTTGTATGTGCTGTCCACATAGTAGAGTATAATGTAAAACCAATAGAATAACACATAAAATGTTAAGACGGTAGATGTTTTACATTCACAAAAGATTGCAGATGCCATCATCTATATGTTTTCACAACATAGATATGGGTCAGACTACACTCTATTCAATATGTGGCGGATTAACCCAAATGTGCAATTAGTCCAGCTTGATCTAAATCAGGGGTGGCAGATTACTGGTGGCCTGACTATGCTGCCAACTATTTTTAGCTTCTCAAACCCCTTCATTTTTTTCAGTCCAACCCCCCCTCCTGCCCCCCAGCAAAATGTAAATCACTGCATTTATAGGTCTCAAGGAATGGCAGATTAAAACCATAACCTCTACCTCATCCACCCTGAAAAACCCAGAAATCGCAAACTGTAAATAATTTTGGATTGCTGTGAGTTTTCCGGGCGTATGGCCATGTTCCAGAAGCATTCTCTCCGGACGTTTCGCCCACATCTATGACAGGCATCCTCATAGGTCAGTGGTTCACTTGCATAGTTTCCAACAGGCCTCACAACCTATGACAGTGGTTCTCAACCTGGGGTCCCCAGATGTTTTTGGCCTACAATTCCCAGAAATCCCAGCCATTTTAGCAAAAACATCTGGGGACCCCAGGTTGAGAACCACTGTCATAGGTTGTGAGGCCTGTTGGAAACTATGCAAGTGAGGTTTATATATCTGTGAAATGTCCAGGGTAGGAGAAAGAACTCTTGTCTGCTTGAGGCAAGTGTGGATCTTGCAAGTGGCCACCTTGATTAGCATTGAATGGCCTTGCAGCTTCAGAGCCTGGCTGATTGCTGCCTGGGGGAATCCTTTGTAAATAATGTTTAGCCTGCTGATATACAGAGATATTCAGGGATGAAAACTGACCCCATCATAAATTCCTACCTCAGTCTAGACCAGTGGTTCTCAGCCTGTGGGTCCCCAGGTGTTTTGGCCTTCAACTCCCAGAAATCCTAAACGCTGGTAATCTGGCTGGGATTTCTGGGAGTTATAGGCCAAAACACCTGGGGACCCACAAGTTGAGAACCACTGGTCTAGACAATTGGGTGACCCTATAGTCTTGTTTTCTCTTGTTAAAAATGAAATTTGCATTGGACAGTAAGTAGCATTCAAGACGTATATGGAATTTACCAGATTCATTTGTTCCTTCCTTTACTGCAGATGAGGGTCAAGCCTTTGCCTTTGGCTCAGACTACTATGGCTGTATAGGTGTGAACAAAGCATTTGGCTCTGAAGTATTGGAGCCCAGGCAGCTGAATGTCTTCCTTAACAACCCAGTGGAGCAGGTTTCCTGTGGAGATAACCATGTTGCAGTGCTGACCCGAAACCGAGAAGTCTACACATGGGGCTGTGGAGAATATGGTATGTGACTACACCTTTTGGGTGAGGTGAGGGTAGGCTGGAGCAATGTATGCTGTTAAAGACTCCGTCAGAGAAAGAAATCTCATTTCCAGCTTATAGTGATAGACACGTAACTCTACAGTGGAGCTGCATAGAACAGGCAATTGGAAGGTACTATCCTGCTAAATCTTTTCTTGGGGTTGTTACTATGCTAGACTTCTGATTAAACTGGGATGCATAGTTCTGGAAAGACAGATGATTATATCTCAGATGACAATGTATATCGTCAGGAATGGATTGGTCTTAGAAATAAAGCAATTTGCTATTTCTCTTTAATGTCTTTCCCCAAATACAGGCCGCTTAGGTTTGGATTCAGAAGAAGATCACTGGCTCCCACAAAAGGTAAACTTTATTGGCTTTGGACTAGATAGGTTCCAAATACATGTAGTGTATCTCTGTATAATTAGCTGTGATATGCATGTTAAATCAGTCCATAACTCCCTCTACAGTCCTGGTGTATGATCCTTTTCTATTGTCTAAATACCAAGGAATGAACCTGGCATTTTCTTTCTTCAACATTTGCACTCTACCATTCCCCTCTCTCTATAAATGGATGCACAGGACTTTAATACTTTCTCAACTATTATCTCCCTATTCCAGATACTAAGAGGTCCCAGATACTTAAAACTTGGGTTCAGGTTATTGAAGAACCATATCTCTCTTTATGGACCATTACAGCTCTTAAAGGTCTTCTGGAAAGAGCCTTCTCTCGGTCCCAACACTCTTTCCGGCTTATTTGTTGGAAACAATGGAGAAGGCTTTTTCAACAGCGTCTCTCAGACTTTTGGAAGGGTTGAACCCTTGTTTTCCTTCTGTCTGCAAGCTAAAACACTTCTGTGCCATTAGGCTATAAGAAAATTGATTAGGGTGGGCTTTTAATGCTGTATGATGCTGTTTTAAGTGTAATGCACAGAATTTTGATTAATTTTATTGTTTAGTGTTTTTGCTTAATAAATCGCTTGTTTTAAAATAAGTCATATGTTTACAGTGGGCCCTTGATATCCACTAGGGTTTGTTTTTAGAACACAGACATATGCACACTCCGTGGATACCAAAATCCATGAATGCTCAAGACCCGTTAAATGCAGTAAAATAAAAGAGAAAAATAAAAGTTTGCTATTTGGATTATTAAAAAAAAATTCAAGGTGTAGATCATTGAATTTACAGAATACAGAATCCGTGGCTGTAGAGCAGTGGTTCTCAGCCTGTGGGTCCCCAGATGTTTTGGCCTTCAACTCCCAGAAATCCTAACACCTGGTAAACTGGCTGGGTTTTCTAGGAGTTGTAGGGCAAAACACTTGGTGACCCACAGGTTGAGAACCACTGAATAGAGGGATGACTACATACTTTTATTTACACGTTTCTATATTTTTAGCTTGGATTGTTTTTAAATATGTTGCTAGCTTCCTTGAGGCCCACTATTGGGGGAAAGGCAGGATATACTCTGTAGTGTATGATGATGATGTTGGTGATGACGATGATGATGAGCTCTGCCCCCTGCTTGCTACAGGCAGTCCTCGAGTTAAAAATATCAAAAATAGTTAAGAATGGGGTTGAGAGAGTGTTAAGTGAGAGAAATCTATCCCTAAGAAGGGAAAATCTCTCCTGAAAGTGCTATGAGAAAAAAGTGTCACCACTGAGGCTTTCTCAAAAATCCTTTCCATAACAAGCGAATTTTTTCAAAATCCAATTATCACAGGGACAGAAAGCGAGGTGAAATCTTCTGAACAGGGGCACAGGCAGCAAAACAAACACCTCAGGGGTATTAACCCTTCCCTATCCTGTCCAAAGCTATCTATCTATCTATTGGCTGCACTTAAAGTTTAAAAAGTACCTGTTCTGACTTACATACAAATTCAACTTAAGAACAAACCTACAGAACATATCTTGTTCATAAGTTGGGGATTGCTTGTACTTTGAAATAACTGGTAGTCATTTTCTGTGGTGTCTCATGGGTCTTGTTTATAGGTGGAAATCCAGAAGGCTTCCAATATTGTTTCAGTCCAGTGCGGCAGTGATGGGACGTTTTTGCTCACACAGACAGGCAAGGTCTTGGCTTGTGGTCTGAATGAATTCAACAAGCTGGGCCTGAACCAGTGTACTTCAGGGATCATTAATCATGATGTGAGTGGCACATTATTCTACGGATAATAGCAGTGAAGCTATTGTGGAGAATGCATCATATAGGATTATATATTGTTTATTGATAATAATTCTTACTAATTAGGACCATTATGTTGGACTAAGACTCCAGGGGACTATAGTTGTAATCCTCACTCAGCTATGGAAATCCACTGGATAGTCACACTTTCCCGGCCTCTGATGAAAGCAGTGGGAAACCCCCTCTTGCAATAAAACCCCATGACAGAGTCACCTTAAGGTTGCATAAGTCAGAATATATTTGGAAGCCCACAACAACTACATCAAAAACAAATAATTATTAATATATGATGTAATATGTTGAGATTAATTTCACTATTCAGCAGCAGATCAGTTGCATAACTTCAGCGCTTTCCAGTAGCTTCTTCCTGCACAGTATTTTCAATCAACTGCTCCCACAGCCTGCAGTCACTCTGGAACCTTTTACAGACACTTGAGCACATCCCCGGCCATTGTCAGTTTTACCATTGTCTTTCCCCCAGTCTAGATGACATTACAAACTTATCACAGCATACAGTTATATCTTGTTTTAGCAGACAGGTTCTTTTAATCAATTATATAGAGCCTTCGACGAACAACATCACAGCACAAGGAGAAATATACACTGTACATGACTTCCTTATATACAGTTCATTTACACATAGCAATCACCGATTGGTTCCCAACTCATTGACTCAACTCAGACCCAGGATTACATCACTCACAATCACCTGGACTAGGCCAGAACACATTCCCCAAATAAAGTTCTATATAGGGTTAATGCATGACTCAGCATTTCCAATAGAAGCCCATTAGCAGTGCATGACTCGGCTATATTACATTACAATACATTGTAAAACCTGACCTAAGCGGCTTGGAACCCTGGCAAAAGGGGTAACACTGTGATGATTTGCCAAATTGGTTCATTTTAGTTACTATGGCACAGTTGCAATAATGCATATATTTAGGAACCTAAACAAAAACCATAGCCTGCTAAAGACAGAAATTGCTTGCCTTGGAAGTATTTTGGCTTACCCATGGGCTCCATGGATAGATCTTGAAGGAGATTGTGGTATTTAATTCATGATACTGTTTTCTTCCCTTAGGCTTACCAAGAAATTCCTTATACGACTTGTTTTACTTTGGCCAAGAAACTCTCCTTTTACAAGATTCGCACCATTGCTCCAGGAAAGACACACACAGCTGCCATAGATGGTGAGACCTCAACACACAGCATTCACCCCTGCAGTGTATTTCTGTTTTCACTTACAGCTGCAGTGACCTTCTAAAAGACAGGCTCGTTGAAAGTAATGTACCTTTATGATCAATGCTATACTTTTATTTTGCCTTATTAGATTAATTTCTCTGAAACTTCAACTCATCACAGCTAATAGGCCATTACAGTTTTGATGCTAATCTAGTTCATTTACCCCATTAATGATTTAGAAGGAGCATAGGCTTCTATGAAAGAGAATAAGAAACTTTATTTTTAGTTACTTTCTTAAATGGAAACCTCAGGCAGTAATGGCAACCTCCAATTTTTTTTCAGTCAGTATTTCAGTCATTGGGTTGCTGTGAGTTTTCTGGGCTGTGTGGCCATGTTCCAGAAACATTATTTCTTGACATTTCATCCACATCTATGATAAGCATCTTCAGAGGTTTAGGGGTCTGTTGGAAACGAGGCAAGTGAAGTTTATATGTCTGTGGAATGTCCAGTGTGGGAGAAAGAACTCTGCTTGAAGCAAGTGTGAATATTGCCATTGGACATCTTGGTTAGCATTTAATGGTCTTTCATGGTCCTTGATTCATGTTTGGGTGCTGCGTTTGGTGGTCCTTGAACCTCTGAGGATGCCTGCAGTAGATGTGGGTGAAACATCAGAGAATGTTTCTGGAACATGGCCATACAGCCTGGAAAACTCACAGTAACCCAGTGATTCTGGCCATGAAAGCCTTCAAAAACACATTTCAGTCATATTCATATGAGAAAGAATTCTGACATTTTAGCAACATGTGTTCTCTTGCTGTACCACACTAATACAGTAATCTAAAATCTGAAATATTCTTCATTTTATTTGTATGCTTTTCCCACTGAAGATAGCATACAAGATAGCTGATAGCACAGGCATCCTCAAACTTCAACCCTCCATTTGTTTGGGCCTCCAACTCCCAGAAGCCTCAATGAGCTTGTTCAATTGCCAGGAATTCTGGGAGTTGAAGGCCCTAGCAGCTGGAAGTCCGCAGTTTGCGGATGCCTGTGATAGCATCACTCAAGTAGTCTTTGAGTAATAAAATCATCACTTAAAACAAATGAGATAGTTAAGCCATTAAAATAATCAGTAAATATCACAACAATTTTAAAAATCAGTCTGAAAATCTATGTCTGCACACCTTCCTTAAAACACCAAGTGTGGTAAATGACTGCAATTCTGGTCAGAGTGGGTTCTATAATCTGAGAATAACACAAGACAAAGTCGTCTTCCAACTGCTCATTAAAAAGGCCACCATAGTCAATAGCATTCTAAAGTGGGCCTCTCTTGACAATCTTAACATCCAGACAGTTGTATAATATAATAGTCAGAACCACACCATTTAGGATTTTAACATTTAAAATCAATGCCATGAATTGTTTATTTATTTATTTATTTATTTATTTATATCCCGCTTTTCTGCCACAGGTGGGACTCAAAGCAGTACTTAATAGAATAGAATAGCTTTATTTGTCATTGTGCTGTTTCACAATGTAATTACATGCCTTCCTCCACACACACCACAAAACAACACAGCCATCCATCTACAGGCACCTGACCACCACTACACAGCCCCCGTGCCACATCACATGAAACCACAGAATTCAACATAGCAACAGCTCTAGAATAAAAATTATTATTCAGTCTGTTTCTCCTTGTCTTTGTCAACCTGGTACTGTCTGTCAGATGACAATAAATAAAAAGGAATATGCTGAGTGAGATGGATCCCCAAGAATGCCCTGAGCTTTCTTAAGACAGTAGGAATTATAAAGTTCTTCCAATGAGGGGAGAAGGCAGCCAATGATTCACTTGGCAGAAATGGTGACCCTTTCGAGTGCCTTCCTATCGGCCACTGTGCAACTACCAAACGATGCGCAGATGCAATAGGTTATGACTCTGTGGCACAGCAGTAGAAAGTCACCAGCAGTTTTTCATTCAGCTAGTGGGTTCCTTAGGAGTCTCAGGTAGTACAGTCTCTGCTGGCCCCTCTTAACCAGCGCTGCGATGTCGGTGCCCCAGGTCAGATCCTCTTAAACAGTAATTACCAGTAATGTAGAAACTACTTGTTATCTTATCTGTGTAATGCCGTGCAGCCTTCAAATCCTTCAAAAGAGTTTAGTATCTTCCTAGCTTTCAAATAATTTGCTTGTTCTTTCTTTCAGAGCGGGGTCGTTTACTTACCTTTGGCTCCAACAAATGTGGGCAGCTGGGCGTTGGAAACTATAAGAAGCGGCTGGGTATTAATCTGCTGGGAGGACCACTTGGAGGGAAGCAGGTCATCAGGGTTTCCTGTGGTGATGAATTCACTATTGCTGCTACAGATGGTAAGTGTTGCCAGTAGCGAAAATGAATGGATCCTATACAAATAAATCCTATACATTGTGTCTCCAAAGTTGGATGCCAAAGATGGTTTCTTGACATCTTGAAAAAGAGTTGTATGAAAGGAGACTATTAAAAAAAAGTACTTCGTATTAGCAATGTATGTAATAAAGCCACACAAACATAATAATCTTGCGGAAATTCCATATGAAGTTACTCTGGACTAGATTGTAATGTATTCCAAATAGAGCCTTCCAGCTGGAAAAGAAATGCAGATCATAGAGGTCTGAGTAGACTGACTAAATTTAAGCCAACAACTCTTTTTTTTCTCCCCAGATAACCATATATTTGCCTGGGGTAATGGTGGGAATGGTCGTTTAGCAATGACACCAACAGAGAGAGCACACAGTTCTGATATTTGTACATCATGGCCTCGGCCCATTTTTGGTTCTTTGCATTATGTCCCAGACTTGTCTTGTCGTGGATGGCACACCATAATAATTGTTGGTAAGTATAAAAAAGTTGGGGGAGTGGAGCCTGACCACTAATATATGTGTTTTCTAACTGTACATTAATGTAAACCACTAATGTAAAGTTCATACAAATGAACAGATCATGTTTTTTTTTGCTGAGAAAATACGTTGGCATATAAAATTTTTGAAAATTTAGTTGATTTCCCCCCCTTTTTTCCTCTCCAGAAAAAGTTATAAATTCTAAAATCCTACGTTCCAGTAGTAGTGGCCTGTCCATTGCAACAGGTAAGTAAACAGATTGTTTAATCACTAGCTGTTCATGATGCACAGACTGAAAAGCTTTAAGTTAGGTTACAGCCTGTTTGAACTACTGTAATGCACTCTATATGGAGCTATATTCGGAACATGTTCGCATTACTGGAACTACTTAGTGAGTGAACAGAAACTTCTTGTTATGACACTGCTACTGGTTACCAGTTCAAAGTGCTGGTTATGGCCTACCAAATACTATGTGGCTTGAATCCCAACTATCTGAAAAATCGTATCTCCTCATTTGAATCTGTCCAAGTGTGGCAACAGTCATTTGGAATTATCTTCCTTTGTCGGCCTGATAGGCAACAACTTTAATTTTATTACAGCACAAGATTAAAAGGGTTTTGTTGTTGTTGTTGTTGTTAAAGACTTTGAGCCCTGACAATTTCATCTAAATTGGTATTATACAGGTCTTTACATTGGTTTAAATTTTAAAATCTTATTGCACTGTAAACTACTTAGAGATCCTATTATGGAGGGATTGAATGAGTTAATCTGTATATTATATTTATTTATATAAATATTGAGACTGTTCTTAGTATTGGAGAACATAACCTTTCAGAGAAGAGCAAAAAAAAAAACCCTTTAGAGTAGAATCTCCTCTTGTAGGATACATCCAAATATAATTATGCTAGGCAATTGTTTCACTTGTTAGACTGAATAACCAGCAATTTCTGATCTATCAGGAAAGCAGGGATTTGCCAGTGCATAAAAATAGCTGAGCTTTAGAAGTGGTGTTTTTTATTTTTATTTTTTGCAGTGCCCAAAAATGTACTCTCCCATACAGCAACTTGTTTCATATGATGCACTCAAGAGACAAAAACGAAGTAGACCTCGATGGAAATAACATATTTGGTTTATTCACAACTTTCATGTGTCCAACATACAAAGATACAAAAACTTACTAGTTTAATTTCAAATATCTTTGAGCTCGTTCCTTGTGCCAGCCAGCCGGGGCATTTCTTTTGTAACAAAACAGCTATCAACAGGCCACATAGTCACAAGGAGAGAGAGAGAGAGCATGTGCTCTGTAGCCCCTTTTATCACTTCTCAGAAACCATAGAGTAAAGGAAGCTGCACACCAGAACATACATACAGGAAACTGTAAGCAACAAGATAATAGACAAACAGATTGCTAGAGAAGGCTTGATGAAGGTTATCATTTCCAACACTTAGATCTCTCTTTGCCTTCGGAGAGTTAGGCGGACCTCTGGCTGAAAATGTTTGGGACTCAAGAGAATTGCTGGGATGGTGACTGTCTAGTCAGTGCCTTCTGGTTCAGTGTTCTGTTTTCATAGTTGATTGTGATTTTTTTATTGACTACATCATTACTATTCAGGAGCCTAACAATATCTGTGTGATCAGCGTTGGAAATAAGAACATATTTAGAGCTTTTAATACTCTGCTGTTTCTTGTTAGTGGCTCAAAGCTTGACAGCTGAAGGAGGAGAAGAGGAAGACAGTGAGCGAGAGACTGACATCCCTGATCCAAGCAGGGGTTTCCGGGGAACCATGGAAGCTGACCGTAAAATGGGAGATCGTATTTGTGCTAATGAAGCTATTGCAGATAGCAGTGCTGCGTGCAGTTCTTGCCCCAGTTGGCTGCGCAAGGTAATGACATTCATTAGCCTAGTGGTGAGAAGATAAAGCAAAATAACCTTTCTCCCACAGTGACTTTGAAACTTATTCCCAGCTTTTGAATCCTTGCTGTTGGAAATTTTTAAAACATTCTTTTAGGCACAAACCGACACTATGAAGATTCTACTACAGTTAGGATATTACTGCACCTCAATTCTGATACTTGTATTCAGTTGAGAAGATATTTTCCAAGAGCAGGATGAATACTTCCAACAGTAGTTTACTGTGCTCATAATGACTATTAGTAATAATAGTATGTATAACAATCATTGTTGTGGGTTGCTATGAGTTTCCCGGGCTGTATCACAGAAAGATTGTGAAGACAACAATGATTGTGTTGTTGTAGCCTTTCATGGCCAAAATCACTGGGTTGCTGTGAGTTTTCCGGGCTGTATGGCCATGTTCTAGAAGCGTTCTCTTCTGACGTTTCACTCACATCTGTGGCAGGCATCCTCAGAGGTTGTGCCAGACTTCACAACCCCTGAGGATGCCTGCTATAGATGTGGGTGAATTGTCAGGAGAAAATGCTTCTGGAACGTGACCATACAGCCCAGAAAAATCACAGCAACCCAGTGATTCTGGCCATGAAAACCTTCAACAACACAATCATTGTTGCATTCACAATCTTTCTGTGATGGCATAGATGGCACCTGCATTCAGCCCATTCTCTAAGCAGAAAGTTACTTACATCTCTCCTTTGTATTTCTCATATTACACTCATGGTAGGGTTTGTAGGTAAAACAGTTTGTAATAAGTTACCTTTTATGATAATAGAGATATTATGAGAGGTTTGGTCCCAAAGGATTGTTTTCCCAAGCAGATCCGTGCATAATGGTCCACGTGTTTTCCCAAGCTCTGGGAAACAATAGGAAGGAAATCTGATTGTCATCTCTTTCTGACTAGGAGTTGGAGAGTGCCGAGTTCATCCCCATGCCTGAAACTCCTTCTCTCGCAAGCCTAGAATCTGAATCTGACAAAGAAACCCTTCCCTATGATGAACTGAAAGGACTCCACATGGCTCCTCCAGCACCTATTGATAATAACAAGACCAATGCAGGTTCCTGGGTAATGTAAACCTTTATCAACATATAATCCTCTTGGGCTGAGATTGTCCATTGTATGTATGTATAATGAGCAGCTTTAAAAATCTTTCTCTATTAAGGATAAGAGGTATGTTAATAGAATGTTTATTAAACTGAAAGGATCTACAGAGCTCAGCAAGGATTATAAAACCAATCTGAAAGCATTACATGTAGTAAACAAAACAGGAAGATGGCAGTCTTTTTTACGATGGTTAATTAATGGCAACAACAAGCAGTTAATCTAGTGCAGTGGTTCATAACCTGTGGTCTGCAAGAACAAAAATATTGTCCACAGCCTCACTCTTACTACACTGTTGCAACAACAGCGACTGACCTTGTGAAACCCTCTTATAGTGCTGCAGGTTATTAAATATTGTTTTCTGTGGGTGAGCAAATGCCCACTGTCGGCCATAGCAACACCTCTTCGGCCCTGATTGCCTTACAACTTCTGGGCAGGGCACCACCATGGCTACACAGCGTTGTGGCGAGAGTACTTCAATGGCCTAGCTGTCCGGCCATAGCAATGCCTATTGAATGACTTCTTCTGTCTTAATTGTATTACATCAAGACCAGAATGAAGTCCAAAGAAAATAGCGCAGAAATCTGAAACAATTTTATCTTGTAAGCCACTCTGAGTCCCTTTTGAGGTGAGAAGCGTGGCATATAAATGTAGTAAGTAAGTAAGTAAATAAATAAATAAAAGATGTTCTATAACAGAAACTAGAGCTGAAGTGGTCTATCCAATGCAATTTTCTGAATCAGCACCCCAAATAACCAAACCAAATCTAAAATTCACCAAAAACTGATTTGAAACCCTTTTGGTACTTAAGTTGGAGAGTGGTCCCTGGTCAAGTAGTCCCTGGTCAAATTGGAATTGAGGGGAATACTACTATGAACAATCAGGGGAAAATATCTTTTATCTCTGTTTTATGCCATCATACAAACTACCTATGAAATACCCTCTTTGATCACTCATCACTTTCATAAATTAGATTACAGTTCAGAGTGGACGTTTTAAAATTAGTAACCACTCCAAGAGACAGGAATAAAAGTAAAATATCTTCTAAAAGGGGGAATATATTTCAGGTTTATGGCTACAATCTGACAGTTAATTGTACAAGGACTAATAATTCAGTACAATAATTCATCTAGACTCCTGCTTTCAAACTTTAAGAACTTGGATTTCAATTTTTTCAGTAGCTCTCTTCTTATTTTCCAGCTGTAATATAGACAAGCACTTTCACATATTGTGCATAGATGTCTAAATTCGTACATACAAACTCATTTACCCTCTTTTGTTGCAGCACCTTCCGGATTCAGCAGAACCTTGTAGTGGTGAAAAGACCTCTGCAGTACCACCTCCATGTAAATGCAGTTTGCTGCAGGCTGAAGTCGAGCGCCTCAGTGGCTTAATCTCAAAGTGCTTGGCTGACCAGGAGAAGCTTCAGCAGGAAACCAGCCGTCTTAGTGCTCAGCTCCAGAGTCTCATCAGAAGTACACAAGGAGCCCAGGAGGTGACATTTCTACTGGAAGAATTTGGCAGATGAGAAAGCAGAGTTGTTCTGAGTATTCTTGAAGTTTTTAGCAATTGGTGCCGAGATGTAGAATCACTGTATAAGTGTGGGTTGCAGTGTGACTGAACACAGAATCTGGATTGTGCTGTAATAATCCAAGAATTTCAGACAATCTTGGCCTTTCACTTTCTATTATTTCAAGAGGCCATGTATGGTTAAAAAAACTGTTTTTGCAGGCAGTTAGGGAAAATGCCAAACTAATCTGGAATGCTAGTGTCAGCCAGCACTGGAGACAGAGGAGGCCCCCACCTAAACCACACCATTTTCATTCCCTTTCCCCTATCTTGGAGAACCCTGGGATCTGGCAGTCAGAATACAGTTCTAATTATCAGAATACAGTTGCTTTTTCTTTCAACTGCTTATCTAATACCTTATACTTAATATTAGCCCAATTAGCTAATGACAAGGGCAGACTGTCCCTGTGTGTGTGTTTTCTTAATATGTAGGAGACATTTAGCAATATTTAATTTGAAATGTGACACCATGCACTTTGCCATGTTATTCTTCATAGATTTGCAAAATAACCAGGAATTCAGCACAACTGCATTCAAACTAAACATCTGATGAGCATAATTCATATTGTAATACATCACCCATACTTTTACTTAGCTGGCAGTAAATCTTTTTTTTTTTCTGTCTGGACAGATGGAGGCTAATTCCAAAGCCACGCAAACCACCAAAGAAGAGACAGAAATGGATCCAAAACCTGACTTGGATTCTGACTCCTGGTGCCTCCTGGGAACTGAGTCATGCCGCTTCAGCCTGTAGTCTTCTGAGTCCACTGGGATCCATCCAATTTCACAGCATATTAACTGAATGCAGAGAGCAGCTTTCCTGGCTTCAGGTCCTTTGTGAACAAGGAGGTCAGGATTTTCACAGCATCCATGTATGGAAGAAGGGAAGCACTATGGGCTTAGGAGGTAATTCAGAGAGGCAGAGTCCCAGGTTCAAGCCTTGGCCTGCTTAGGCGTCCTGTTGGCAGCAAGCCCTCTCAATAAATACATTATGTCAGGCTGTCCTTGAGACCTGATAGCTATGCCACAAGAATAGCTCTAGTGCAGCACACCCTCAGTTTCTTTCACAACTTTTGACGGGTGGCATTGAACCCCTAGCAATAGTCACTTCAACTGAAGCAGGAAACATGGTTGAAAAGAGAAAAACAAATGAGCACCCACATTTTGAGTGAAACTGTCAGGTTAAACTCAGAGGGGCAGGACCCCAGTCTGTTGGGGGAAATTGCTTGCAGGTAGGGAGGTCTAAGAAAGATCTTGCTCTGAAAATGAATTAAGGCCATGTATCCTCCACCTTGTATGGAAGGCATTTATAGCTTTTTTTTAAAAAAAAAAACCTTAAGGAATGATTGGGAGAAGATCTCAGGCACATTTTCCTTAGCATTCCCACCAGGTAATGTCAGCTTAGTATGGATACCAGAATGAGCTGTTGAAAGCCCCTTTGTGTCCTTTATTCTGTTGTTCTTATCCAGTACTTGTGGAAATTGGAGCCATATTGAGTTTAATAGAATTTCTCTGTGCAGCCAAATTACAGGAAGCTATTATACATTGCTTCAGATCATTTCTTATATTTTCAATACTGAGCTGTGTATGAAGGAAGTTTGAAGATAGGATTTTCTATTTTCCCAAATTATGCTAATATCTTTGCTAAACTGTTCAGTTAATCAGTGTAAGACTTTGGTGCAGATGTGAGCTCTCGGAGCCATATCCATTTACCTCCCTATCATGGAATGAAATTCCCATTGTTCTTTGTTTTAAGAACATTATAGCTTTATATTCTAGAAAAGTTGCTGTATCAGTTTAGTGTCCCTTATTTTTTATTTGGTAATCGTACATTATAATTTCAACCTTTCATAAAATTATTCTTTGGATCCCCTCATCCACTCTTTTATACTACAACTACATCAGAGTTTTAAAAATTACTCTGCCTTGAGGTGAGTTTCTTGCCTCAAATAGTGCATTACAAAGGATTTACTTGATTCCTCTCTTAATTCTCTGTTGGAACTGAATCAGATTTTTTTCTTTTGTTCAGCTCCAGGGGAAAAATGTTTGTTGTGCCTTTCCTTAGTGGGAAAGAAGGAAAAAGAGCCTGCATATAAGAAATACCAAATGTTCAGTAAATTGTTATGCCATTTGGCTGATATTAAGTGTTGGATTGTTTAATCTCTTTCATATGAGAATATACTCTCCTATTATAAAATAGGAAGTGAAAGGGAATTAAGCACAGTCCATATCGTAACAGGAATCACTGTGTTAATGGGATTCCCTCTCCTACAGCATATGTACATTATTTCTCAGTACTCTGAATTTGAAAAATGAAGTGCATCGACAAGATTTCCCTGAAGTCTAGCAGGGGTATTGGTTATTGAGGGATGGTGACCTGTACTCCATGGCAATATATGTGCCTTAAAGGATTCACGCTGTTCAAGCTGTGCCTGTTACAGATCACAATATATGCACCAGTCCTCCTATGCAACCAAAGACACATTTTAAACACTGATTGTGCCCTGGAAGGTGAAGGGCAAGTAGGCCAACGTGCCTTAGAGCAGTTTCAGATCCAGTTCCTTTCTCCTTTTTCAGCAGTGCTAGTTCTGTAGATATCAATCTCTTGCTAACACTGCTGTTGATTTGTTATAGTGGAACACAACATATGCTTGCACTGGCACACTAGCAGCAACTAGTTTGTCATTATCTATGAAAGATTCAATGGTGAAGTGGTTTGAAGTTTTCTGTTTAAATAAATGTTCACACTCAGTTGCCTTTGTGCTTGATTCTTTCTGATACTTCGTCTCAGGGACAAATTTTGAAAGCAATATGAACACTGGATTTCAGATGATGATCAAGTCAAATATATGTGCTCATTTACATGGAGATTATTTTTTCTCTGTTTTGCATGGTCAGAGATGGGTTTCTTGCACTTAGATTTGCAAGTCAATGCTGCTGCTAAAACAATTTTCACACCATGATTTCATCCCTTTGCCACAGAAAGCATGTGACTTTGAAGAAAAGTATGGAATTAGAAAAAAGTTATCAAAACAAACAGATGTAGTTTTACAAGCTCTTTAGGATTCTCTGCCCAAGAGTGCCAGTGCCCCACCAAACGACAACTCCCATGGTTCCATTGCATTGAACAATGACAGTTAATGTGGTGTCAAACTGCATTAATTCGATAGTGTAGATGTAGCCTCTATTTTTTAAGATTCTGAATTTAACATCAACACAAAGGATTTAAAAATCTATTCACGGTTCACATTTTTTAATTTTATAGTTTAGTATTTTTAAAGCAACAATAATGGGAACACTTTCAGTTTTCTGTACTTTCAAACTGAGGGAAACAACAGTGGAGTCAATACAACTGGCAGTTTCAAAAGTCACCTTGGTTCATTACTATCATTGTTTCTTTTGCTGTGGTGGTGGGGGTCTGTTCTTAATGTTCTTGCACTTGGGAATGTGTCTCTCAGCCACCTTAGGTGCAAATTGACGGGTGCAATAAGGGCACAGTTTGTAGTCTGGGTTTTCCATGGCAGGTATTGGGGGAAGGTCTGAAGCTTTCCCCCCTTTGGAGATTACTCGCTGGACTTCACGAGCCCTGCGCAAAGTCTTGATGAAAGATTCATGCTTCTGTCGCCAGTTGCTTTGCTTAGATACATTACTGATTTGCTTGGAAGCCTCGGAGCACTGGTTGGAAGTTTTTTTCTGAAGTGATAAGGGGAAGTAGAGAAACCATTAGAACAAGCTGATAGCCAATATGATGTTTCTTGATACGATTTTTGCCCTGTGCATGGAAGACAGGATAGTTCTAATACAGTAAATTCCCAATTCCAATTGGACATCAAACCACACAATGTATGTGAAGACCAACTTTTTACTGGTTGGACTGAATGATTACTGCTTTTAAAAGTCATGTCATCTTGCTCGTGGGCCCACAGTGGATCTAAGCCATTCACTTCGCTTAATTCAAGTTATTGGAACATTGTCACTGGAGCATAAATGTTACTAGTTCTCTTGAATTATGAATATTTAAGTTAACTTGGCAGTGAAATTAGACATATAGTCTGAAACAGAAAAGCTAATTACATTAGCCTTTGCTATTAATGACTCTTAAGTATGAATGGCTTTTTCACTGCCATGAGCTCCTGACTATAATGCTATTTTGTCATTATGACTTTTAGAGATTGGTTATATATGACTTATAGTTACATGTTCTCCTATAGTAACTTGATAGTTCTGAGCACTTGTTATTACATCTTCAGCACTGCTCATTTGTGTGTGACAAAAGAGGTCAAATAATTTGAAGCCTATACTCTAGACCAAATTTCAGAATCTTAAACTAAACTGTAACTGAGATTTCATGTTTCTTCCTGGAATCTTATCTTGCACCTTCTAGAAATTACCTTATCTGTAACTACATTTAAATATCTGAATGGAAGTTAAGAGGTGTTGAGGGCACTTAGAAATTCTCCTTGCCTTCAGGGGGAATGTCTTCCCAGCAATACAAGGTGTATGCAACTGAGAAAAAATGATGCAGCTAGGTTGTTAAAGCAAAGGAGAAGACAGGCTAGTCAGCACTTATATCAAGGACTGCATGAAAACAACATATAAACAAAAGAAAAAACCAGTATGCATATATTAAGCAAGTACGTGTATTACCTGAGATATATCTGAGCCCTTTAAGAGATGATAAGTTTCCAGTTCAGTGCCTTTTGCTCTAGCTTTGCTCGAATCAAACACCTTTCTCTTGGAACTGTGATTCTTGCTGCATATGCTAACGTGTTTTTCTAGTCTGGAGCGATAAAGTCTCCGCCCACAGATCCTGCACTCTCCCCACTCCTCCACATTGCTTGGAGCCTCCATATGTAATGGATCTGCTGCCAAATGGCCAATCTGTCCTAAAGGTGTTGCAACTGAAACAGTTAGGTCATGTACAGGAGTCAGTTCTGGGCTACAGTGGGGTGTATGCTCTCGAATTTTACTGTTGCTGGCCACCAACCTTTGTTTTTTTAGCTTTTCTATATGGTGTGGCTGGGAAAGCCGAGCAGCTCCCACTGAGACCATGGAACTCTCAGAAACATGTGCCTTCTGAGAGGCACGTGACTGGGTCGTAAATCTCGAAAAACAACCCTGTGCCATGCCTGCTGCTTTCCTCTCAGGAACCCATAGAGCTCCTCGCTCCCTTCTTGCTTCCGCTTCAGCCTGCTGTCTTTCCCACTGAATTCTTCGAAGCTCGTCTTCTGTTCTCCTCAGCTTTTCCCTGAGAATGGCCTCCTTGCGCTGGATCTCTTCCTCCAAGCTCCGTCCAGCAGCCTCCAGCTTTTGAATGTAACCCGACTCTGCCCATTGTGGATGAGAAGCTGTTTTCTTAGATTCTTCAACAGAAGGGGCTCGCATTCCACCATGCTGAACCTTGACTGTATTCAATCTTCCTTTTTTCTCTGAGCTAGTACCACTAGAAGGAGTCTCTCTAGCTGAAGAACTGGGAAGATTTGCATCCCCTGCTTCATGGTGAAAGACAGGTTTAAGTGGATATGCCCTGTCCACACCTTCCCTCCGCTTGGTTCTCCAGTGAGAGGGCAATGTTCCAGCCTGTCCCTTAAAATACCAGTTGCAGGGCCCCGCAGAATAGAAGCCTGCTTTCTCTAAGATCAGCCGAGTACGTTCTGCAGGCTGAGAACAAGAAGACTTGTGCCCTTTTTGGACATGAAGATCTACCTGCTTCTTATCTTTACTGCACAGGAGCTGTTGCTGGATGTTCGTCCTCAGATGTTCCAGCTGTGACTGTTCTTTGAGAGCTTCTGAATGACATCTTTCCTGGCTTGTTCCAGGAAGACCTGGATTGCATGCTGTTGGATCCATATGTGAATACGCAGTCAGCTGCAACTGAGCCATTCAGCGTTTCCAGGAAAGCCTGGGGAAAGCAAGTTATATACATACTATGATTGTGGCCTGCATTCTTACAGAGCTTTAAAAACACCCCTTCAAGCAAGGGTGGAAAATACTCAAAATCACTTTTCACAGTTGCTATGATATCACTTGTACTTTGAACCAACACTATCTTCCAGATTGAAATAAAAAATAGATAACAGTAATTATATCTATCTATATATATATAAATGCTCTGTGCGTAATGAGTACCTTAAAAACAAAAAACTACGGGTCCAAATGACCCCACATTTGGCAACAAAACTCACAATCCAAGGACTGGATTATATGGCAGTGTAGACACATGCACACGTGCACGCACACACACACATATATATGCATGGATGTTGGAGAACAGACAGGAAGACAGGAGAGAAGAAAGGAGGGAGGAAAAAAAGGAAGGGATGAAGGAGGGAAAGGGGGAAGGAAGTAAAGAGAGAAGGAGGGAGGGAAAGAAGGAAGGAAGAAGAGAAGGAAGGAAAGAAAGAGGTACTGAAGGAAGGAAGAAGAGAAAGTAGAAAGGAAAGGAAAAAGTAAGGAAAGGCAGGAAAAAGGTAAAGAATGAAGGAAGGAGAAAAGGAAATAAAAAGTGAAAGAAGGAAGGAAGAAAGGAGACAAAAGAAAAAGTAGAGAAATGGGGAGGGAGGGAAGGAAAGAGAGAAGGAAGGATGAAACCAAAGAGCAAAAAAAGGAATGAAAGAAGGAAGAAAGGAGAAAAAGGGGAAGGGGAAGAAAAAGGGAAGGAATAGGTAGGTACCGCTCTTTCATAATAGTCCAGATATCTACCTCTACTTAGAAAATTCTTACTATAGGCCACAGCAACGCATGGCAGGGCAGAGCTTGTGTGAGTGTGTGTGTATGTATGTGTGTGTGTGTGTGTGTGTGTGTGTCTATATATATATATATATGCTCTGTTCGTTTTGAGTGACATCATAATTCAAGATCCGTTGGATGAATTGCTGCCAAATTTGGCCACAAGACATCTACTAACGCAAGGAATGGCCATCACTCAAAAAATTTGATTTTGCCATTTGGGAGTTGTAGTTGCTGGGTTGTATAGTTCACGACGAATCCGATGCTCTAAAGATCAACACACCATAGGAACCTGGAATGTAAGATCTATGAGCCAGGGCAAATTGGATGTTGTTATTGGCGAGATGTCAAGACTAAAGATAGACATTCTGGGGGTCAGCGAACTGAAGTGGACTGGAATGGGCCACTTCACATCAGATGACCACCAGATCTACTACTGCGGACAAGAGGAACATCGAAGAAATGGAGTAGCCTTCATAATCAATAAGAAATTCGCTAAAGCGGTGCTTGGATACAACCCAAAAAATGACAGAATGATCTCAATTCGAGTGCAAGGAAAGCCTTTCAACATTACAGTGATCCAAATATATGCCCTAACCACAGCTGCTGAAGAAGCAGAAGTAGATCAGTTCTATGAGGATCTGCAGGACCTACTGGATAATACACCAAAAAGAGACATTATTTTCATTACAGGAGACTGGAATGCCAAGGTGGGAAGTCAAATGACAACAGGGATCACAGGCAAGCATGGTCTGGGGGAACAAAATGAAGCGGGACGCAGGCTGATAGAATTTTGCCAGGAAAACTCGCTGTGTATAACGAATACTCTCTTCCAACAACCTAAAAGACGGCTTTATACATGGACTTCACCAGATGGTCAACACCGAAATCAGATTGACTACATCCTTTGCAGCCAAAGGTGACGGACATCCATCCAGTCGGTGAAAACAAGACCTGGGGCTGACTGTAGCTCAGATCACGAACTTCTTATTGCCCAATTTAGAATAAAACTAAAGAGATCA